ACATGTTTCCAAAATAATAAAACTTTCCATGGAGTTAACTCTGATGTTGGCGCAAAACCTCAAGGCTAACTGAAGAACATTTGGAGAAGTTCAAATAAAGTTCAAAGGGGGGCGCTAATATACAACTCTGCTTCTTTTTTTCCCCCTGAATTCAAAACCAAAAGCTGCTTCATGACAAGGAACAAGGACACATCTACAAACGCAGAGGAAATGCACAGAAACGGTGTGATTTCATTCATTATTGTTACTATTGTTACTATAACTGTGTGAAAATGCAATACAGCAGTTACGAAAAAAATACGGGCAGTGAGCGATGCTATATCATACTTGCAAATAATAATTATGATGATAATAATAATGACGATGGTTTGAATATTCCTCGTCACTTTTTTGTTACAGCATCCTCTCGCTGCTCTGACCACTATTGCCCCTTTACACCCAGAATGGTTTCACGATGGTCGTAAATTGTCCGATGACATATCATTTGTGCACATACATTGTATCGTGGGAAAGCTGCCTTTACCTGGGCAGAACTGGCGAAACGTTATTGATACAGATCATTGCAGATCGATTGATTGAGAACAAAGACTGACAAAAATACATTTACATTTTTAAGAATTTGCTTAAAAGGTGCAAAATGCTAAACCATACAGCAGAAAACTGAAATATGTATTTTATTCTCATTTTCAATCACTTTTTGCTGCTTCTCACCAGCTTGTAAGAGGGTTAGAACTCCGGTCGCCCCCTTGTGGCACTAGACGGTATTCAGTATTTTTCCAGAAATAAAAATGCCCATGGTCAAAATAAAGCGAGGGCATTTAACGAAACATTCTAGCTTTAAACAACCCAAATGCAACTTTGGTGCAATATCACAATATCTTGTTGAGGTTTGTTTTATATAATGCTAAATAACTACAACAGAATAAAACACTTTGTTTTGGTGGTTAGTACCATGTTAGATAAAAGACTCAAAATTGTTTTTGCCAGGATACATTTGGTGGGATTAACGTTTTATTTTAATGATATTTTTAAAGCATATTGCACCTTTAAAACAATGTCCTGCTTCACAACGAATGAATAGGTTTCTTTTCAAACATCAACATCACCACTTGGTTCAAATCTGTTCTCACAGTACGAGGCAACACATTTTAGTGGCCCAAGCTTTAAATTTAAAAATGTTTTCTGCGACCCGAGTGATTCGCCCACATCTGCAATTGTTGGCAAAAAATATTTGCTGGTGAAACCATGGTGTAAAGGAGGCAAAAGCTGTGCCTCACCGACTCCCCCTGGTGTTTTAGAAAACAATAATAATTACAATAATTATGAAAAATATGAATATATATATATACATATATAAATAATTTTTAGTACTTTGAGTTGAAATACTTTTTAGTATTTTGCAAATACATGTCTCTGTATATAAAAGGAAAAAAAGCCTCCTGTAATAAATGAGAAAAAAATTTAATACTGAATCTGTGGTTGGCTTCATTTCAATGTTTCTGTGTTGTGTGTCTGTGTGTGCTATATTTTTAATTATTTATTTTTTTTACAAGTTTTCAATTGCCACTTGTTCTCTGCATATTCTGTGTGTGTGGTTAATTGTTTATGGTGTTAATTGTTCACTGTAAACAGTCCGTGGGTGTGAATGTGAGTGTGAATGGTTACTTCTACAGAGGACATGTAATGGACTGACTGCTGATGACGGGATTGGCTCCATCTTCTCCAGCAATCCTGGTAAAATTAAGAACTGTGAGCGCCCCCTGCTGCTGCAACCAGGCAACGTCCACATTTGATAACTAGAACCTTGTTTTTTGTATAGCCAACTTCCTTTGATAACTAGAACCTTGTTTTTTGTATGGTCTGTGTTGTCATTGTACCACGAGGATACAACGAAACTAAGCCTCTGCTTTTAACCCATCACCAAGGGGAGCAGTGTAGTTGGCTGGAAATTACTCTATCTTCTTGTTGCCATCAGATAAGTTGATGTTACATTTAACATTGATGTGGTGAGGCTGACCAACAAAACGGCAGAAGACGACCTGACGAGGCATCTGTCTGTCTTGTCTGTCTCCTAATGTGTGTCCTAGTTACACCAAAAAAGACTCAAAACTAATACAAAAAAGGGAGGAAAAAGAAAAAGGAGAGGAAGAATAAAAGAGAAGTTGAATGTCAAGCCCGCGCTAATTGTTTCTATTTTAGAGCCGCGCTGCTTTCAGGCTGATTTAAAGAGAAGTCGATGTAAAAGTGACCTAAAAACAAAGCACAGAAGCCGCCTGACGCTCGCTGATAACACACAAGCAAACACACACAGGAACACACACACACAGAGATAACATTCACATTTTCTCGGACGCAGACGAATTATAATGTTTAGATTGATTTTTTTTTTATTAATCTGCACCCACTTAATCATACCTGTCTTTACCACGATGATGGCAAAGAATTTAATCATTTAAAAGTTGAAAAAAGGAAGAGGAAACATGAAAAAATATATTTTTAAATTTTATATTTTTGTTATATTTGTATTGAACATTTTATGGCATGGATTTTTTCATCTGCCACACTACATTAGTACATAGTCTTTTTTTGATACCACTTATATGATAGCATTTATTTAGGTAATGATTTTGTCCGATATATTAAAACTCCTTTAGTGTAATTACCGTTTAATTTTCTTGATTTTCTTGTTTTGTTATTATGCTATTAATAAACCCCTTTTTCCTTTTTAACCATAATTTCTACGTATGTGTGCGCGCGTGCCTAAAGTCTGGTTTGTTTTTATGTTTTAGCTGTGTTTAACCACATTTTGTGATATTTATATATGTAAACATGACGAGGTTTGTAGCCCGAGAGGCCGATGCTATTGCGAAGTGATGCTACCCCCGCCTGGAGTATATTGGTACTGCGAATGACTACTCATTTTAACCATACCAACACGTATTCTCATTACATTACATTTGCTGCTTTGTACAACAAAATTACACACAGGAAAGTAAACTGTAGTTTTTAAAATATATTAATATATTATAAATATTTTAAATATTTGTTTAGTCATTATCTCATTGTTTATTTTGTGCTAATTTGCTACAACTAGTTTCTCAGAGGACGGACTGTGTCCCGACTTCCGGTTAGAAGAAAAAAAAAAAACACAACCAAAAAAACAAAAACCGTTTCCGGTCACTGTGTGGTGCGCCTGCGTGTTATGTGCAGCGTAAAGGAAGCGACTCAGCGACAGCAACCGCTCACACAGGCTGATAGACACTGAATGAGAAGAGCACACTGATTTATTATTAAAATGTTGAAATTTTTACCTAATCTACTGCTGCTGGCGCTACTAGCTTTTCCCGCTACCCTGCTCATTAAAGGTAAGGATAGAAAACAACTCTTGTATGAAAGTAGAGTGTAAGCTCGTCCGCTTTAGCAGCTTGCTAACTAGCTTTCGTGCTAAAGGCCACCCTTTCTGTCACACGTGTTTATTGGAACTTCATTGTTCATAATGATTGGATGATAAATTGCGTGATTACAAGTACGCGTTAACATATTCATGTCTTCAAATTTATAAAGTTTTGCCTCCCTATCTATTAAATGCTATTAACGCGCAGTCGGCTGCTGTACGGTTCTCCTTCCGCTTAAACTGACGTGTCCTTACTGTTAGCCGTAAGGCTACGAGACAGTAGACCGAGTTAAAAAAAAGAAAATATAATACATAGCGCTATTCGTCAATGAAATTCAACATCATAGTCCCTTTTTGAATTAACCGTTTATCGCTGTAGAGCACACACTTATAATGTAATAATAATATATTTCATATGAGTTGATGTCACGCAGGTTTCCTAACTAGTGTGTTAAGGAATACTCAATTTGCTTTGCTTAAAATCAATTACCGATATTTCCAAATATATGACAGGAAAGTCACTTCATAACTGTCATCCAACCAGGGCCTGATGTGGTGAGTGCCCAGGACCTGACTGAGGACGAGGAGGCAGAAGCGGTGGAAGAAGATCATGTGGACGATGCGACTGCTGAGGATGAGGATGATGAAGCGGAGGTGGAAGACGATGAAAATGCAGAACTAGTGAGTAGCTGGATTACTACACAATTCAATCAGGGGAAATTTGACCTTACAGTGTAACATAAGGCTGATGTTTCTGTTATAACCAAAGTCGGATTATTTCACTGGTAATTAGTTGAGTGTTGGTTGTTTCCCTCTTTCCACTAATTAGTAATCTTTCTAGAATTTTTTTTCCTTGCTTGTATAGAGTTAACGTAATGTTGTCTTTCAGCAGACTTTTAGCTGTTTATCTTTAAACTAATTTGCCCTATCTGCTAAAGTCTATGTGTGTTCCCAGTCATTTTTTTAGGTCCTAGTCAGAAGATATCATATTTAGTGTTTGGGTTTTTTTTATTTATTTGCTGAATCATTAATAACAACTCCTGCTATCCAGAATTTTAGTTAGGGTTTGAAGTGAAATGCAGAAAGTTTGTGCAAATTGTGAAACTCAAAGCTTAATGAGTGTTTGTGTTTGTCTGTGTGTAGGCTGAAGATAAAGAAGATGAAGAAGAAGAAGCATTGGTTGGAGAAGTGAAGGCTTCTCCCAACGCTGACACCACCCTCCTGTTTGTGAAAGGAGACGGTAAATTAATTTCTTATCTGCTGTAGCAGCAGGAGAAAAAAAAACAATCTCCACTGACCCACGTCTTTGTTTGTCTTCAGACTTTCCAGCTAATGACATCGTTAAGTTCCTGCTCGGCTTTACCAACAAAGGAGCAGAGAACTTCATTGTGGAGTCCCTGGATGCTTCTTTCCGTTATCCACAGGTGTGAATTTCACTTCAGCGTAGTTGAAGGAATAGTGGTTCAAAATACACACAAAACACAGACTGAAAAGGAAAGTCTCAATTTTTTTCCTCCACTAAAAACTAGTTGGTTAAGAAAGTTGTTCAGTTCAAACACTGACTTAGAAAATGTGTATGTGTGAGGTCAGTCTCAGTCTAACCCAGTTTGTCTCCCGTGGTCCAGGACTACCAGTTCTACATTCAGAACTTCACAGCTCTGCAACTCGGCACCGTGGTTCCACCCAGCAAACAGGCCACCTTTGAGTACTCCTTCATCCCTGCCGAGCCAATGGGAGGAAGGCCCTTCGGACTGGTCATTAACCTCAACTACAAAGACAACAATGTAAGGGGGGTGGGGGGTGCAGATGTTCTTATCGGCTGTTCAATTTGACATTGTTTTTAAATGTAAGCTGTTTCTTGACTGATTTTTGGCCTTTGAACCCTGACTCCTTCTGCAGGGAAATATTTTCCAGGACGCTGTTTTTAACCAGACAGTCACCATTACTGAGAGAGAAGACGGACTGGACGGAGAGACGTGAGTGATCCTGACCTCTGCTCATCGACTGGGTTTTTGTTCTTATTCCCACCTTCTCACCCTGTACTCTTCCTTCTGCTTCTCCAGCATCTTTTTGTACGTCTTCCTGTCAGGCCTCAGCCTCCTGGTCATCGTCGGCCTGCATCAGCTGCTGGAGTCCAGAAAGGTGTGCTGAGCAATTTTAATTCAACTTTTTTTTTTCTTTTTCTTTTTTCAATACATTTTTCTGTTTGCCTTCTGCAGAGGAGGCGTCCAGCTCCAAAGGTAGAAATGGGAACCTCCAGCCACAGCGACGTCGACCTGAGCTGGATCCCACAGGAGACTCTCAACCAGATTAGTAAGTACCTGTCGAGACTGACACACAACCTGGAACTGTTATATTACACTGGAGGTAAAACTGTATATGAACAATTACATTCATTAAATCTCACAAATTAAGTAAAAAAAAATGTTAATGACAAATGTTGTCATCAATTATGTCTTATCCTCAAAGTCTGCACAACTGCCAACCAAACCACATTACATTGCGTGTCCTTGATTAGTCAGCTGACATGTCTCTGAACTCTTCCTGTTGTACCCTGTTTATGAAGAAACCTAAACTTTCCTCTTTCTTTCTCTTTTTTTTCCCCCCTTCCTTTCATTGTCAAACTTTCTTGCTGCTGCTTCAGTGCAGAGTCGCAGAGGTGAGCTTTCCCTGCTCTGTTTGTTTCCACACCTTCTCTACTATAAATCCAGTTAATATTCCACACAGTCGGTGCTGCATGTGCTGTGATCACTCCAGTGATTTAATTTAGAAGCCACTTTGGTTCCATGATGTTTTGGGCAACTGATGTTGATGGGGCACTTCCATAATCTTGTTGAAATTCATTGAGAAATCACAGCGAAGTGGTTTACGTCACAGCACACGAGGGGATGTTGATCAACTGCTTCAGCTGTAAATGTATGTCTTTAAAGTCGATGATGTTTTATTTAATCATAAACTGATCCTTTGATGCAACAGCTTCTCTGTCCAACCTTAAAAACAAAGCACTGATCATGGTCCTGTGGCATTACTAGCTGATACATTTGTTTTTATTTATATATGTAGTAAATAAGTCTCTGGTTTCTTGACAGGGGGCGCCCATATCACAGAAACAACACATACTGTGTATATAAATTTGTACCATAACCCATTTTTATTCTCCCACCTCCAGACAAAGCATCTCCCAGACGATCTCCTCGCAAAAGGAACCAAAAACGCTCGGCTGGTTCAGACGAGTGAGCGTAACATCATCACTGCGCTCGACTGAGGGAAGAAAAAAAAAAAACAATTGAGGAAGGAGGGTGGTGCAGAATCAGGTACACCATGCCTTCTACTGAGAGACTCTGAGCAGTGAGCAGCACATCCACAACTGGCTCGACCTGAACACATACACAGTTACACACACACACACAGACACACAGACACACACTGTCCATGTTTCTTGAATGATTTTGTTTGACATTCAGAGAGAAGAAAGTCTTCTCTTTTCTTTGTTTGGACTTTTTTGTTTTTTTTTCTAGATGTCAACAGCTGTTTGTTTTTCTTCCTTCTCATTTCTCCCCAAAATAATAATTAAGTCATAAATGAACTTTGGAAATGTTCCTCCTTGAATCCAAAGGATTTTTCATGTTAAAAATTGTGAACACTAAAACGCGTGTCCCATTAGAACGACTGTTTACGTCCTGAAGTCCACGGGGCTAACATTAAACACAATGTTTTCACTGGTTTTTGTTCTTAGTTTACATGTCAATGTAAAACATTACATTTATCATATTAATGGAATAGAATTTGAACAATTAGTGATTCAAATCCTAAATTTGTGGTAGAAAGTGTAAATTGTACCTGGCGTTGTTGCTGCGCGTGATGACATCACATGGTGCTTGTAAGAACATCGTCTGAGCAGTGGAAGCCGTTCAGACTCACACACAGAACAAAGACAAACATCCTTTTTAACAGGGCTTTGAAACCAAGCATATAAAGATCACTCCGTTTCTCTTTTTTTTTTTCAGGCTCCAACCATTTAGCTTTTTTTTTTTTTTTTTTTTTTTAAACAATAGAGAAAAAATTCAACCACATCTTGACCTTTATTTTCCAGTTAAACGGTAAAGAAGCTGATGCACTGGTGTAAATACTGCCTGGTGAATTCTGCAAGACCCGGATAATTTATTTGGGAGACAGGGAATTGTTAGAGGTTTGCTTATTGTATTACTTATTGTTTGCCACTAGAAGGAGGTTGGAGCAAATGACTGTCAGGGCGGGACTGGAGTCTACCGTAGAGTCCAGTGTTTCTGTGAACAACTGGAGCTGAGGCCGTTCGTTTTCTGTAGACCTTTTTGTTTTTCTTTGGAAACGACCGTTTGAAAGCTCGGCGATACAAACTTTGACTTTTATTTGCTTTTAAATGTGCAGGAGAATAAACTTTGATAATTTGCTTTGGATTTTATGCAGTGTGTTTTTATTTTGAACTGAAAACCATCGTCCAAGTTCTTACTTGACAAACCTAGAAAAAATGTGAAGGAAACAGTTTTTGAACGAATTTCGGGGTTTTCTCCAGAAAACCACACAATATTTTCACTCCTGAGTCTTGTAGGTGGTTCCAACTGAGGTTCTGGACTTCAGAGCTGAGGCAATGACTTCACAATGAGTCTCTGAAAGTCGACAGCCAGTAAGTCTGATGGGTGAAAA